TTTTAAGTGAAATGTTAGCTTTATCATAATTATAACCCTTGTAACTTTTTTAACCTTTAAATCTCCGGTAAAGAATCAAAAGTGATATCAGAAAATGTTAATAAAAAACTTTTGAACAGTTTCAAAAGGGATGAAACTCTGTAAATTAGTAAAATACTTTCCACTCGGACAGCGAGTCTTTGTTGGCTGGCGACGATTTTTAGGGTACCGTAACGAATTTTTACTTACGTATATCTAAAAAAAGAACCTTTTCCATTTATAATTGGACTTCCAACAATTAATAATGCGAAAGTTTATGTGTAATTGTGTGTGTATGTTTGTTACTCATTCATGTTGAAACAGCTGACGGATTTGAATGAAATTTAGTATACAGATGATCTATGATCTGAACTAGCACATAGGGTAGTAATAAAATTTCCCAAAAGATGGCGCAGCCTGGTATAGACCCGAGCGAAGCAAGGATGAGTCGCTAGTTCATCTCATTATATGACACACCGTTGACACTCATTCAACCTGAGTTTACAGTTCAGTTTTCATATTACCTAATAGGTATATTTTAATAGAGATCTATTGAAAATCATCTGAGTGAAGTTTTACCATAACTCGTTAAGAACTATCACGGAAATCTATTCACATTATTTTCTTTTAAATGAATTTTATATACAACCTTAATATTTTTTTTGTTACATTACTTATAATATCATAAAATAATATTTTTTTTATTGTTGCAAAATAAATGGCAGCCGTAAAATTTTATCTGTTAAACTATTATTAAATATATGTAATAGTCTTCATAAATTACTTTACTACGCTTAAATTTACATCATTTTTCATTATGATATTGTAATAAAATTCTTATTTTCTAACTAATATAAATGCAAAGGTGTGTTTGTTTATTTATCCTTCTCTTACGCATCAGAGTAAAAAATCGATGTATGTATTTATTTGCAAAGAGTGAGTCTATGGAAAGGAGAGTGGGGTAGGCAGGTTTTTTATTAATTTTTAGTGGATTGTTCGTAAAAATCATAGCGTAGAAACTAGAGCCTGAGTGAAATAAAAACTTTTTAACAAAAAAATAAAAACCGACTTCAAACAAAAGCACTAAAAAGTAACAAATAACTGATTGGTAGTTTTCATTTACTATACATACCTAATCAAATATTTTCGAAGTCGGTGTGCTTAGCTTTGTATGGGCTGGCACCGATTTCGAAAATATTGATTGATGTATGTATGATTAGGTGTATGTATTTAATAGGTAGGCTTTAATTACTTAGCCAAAGCACACCGACTTCGAAAATATTTGATTAGGTATGTATAGTAAATGAAAACTACCAATCAGTTATTTGTTACTTTTTAGTGCTTTTGTTTGAAGTCGGTTTTTATTTTTTTGTTAAAAAGTTTTTATTTTTCCCTTTTTAGTGTAGACAGTAGTAGCAAAGTAAGGATTCTAACGTGTTAGGCTTGTCAAATCAAACAAAATAAGCCCAAACTCAAAGTATCTACTATTAGCCGTTGAAGAGTTCCACCTATCCACCTTCTGGCCTTGCCATCAGATCAGGTCAACAACACCGAACCACTGTACTATCAACGGAAATAGAAATACTTGCAAAGTTTCAAGTCAATATGACAATTAGAAGTAGGTTAAATTCATCATTAGTTGTTTTTCCACCCTTAGGGGTGGTATTTTTTTTTGAAATTTAAGTGGGACCAATCTGGAAGTACACCCTTTCAAAAAAAACAAAAATTGTCCAAATCGGTTAATAAATGACGGAGTTCTGAGGTAACAAACATAAAAAAAAAAAACATACAGTCGAATTGAGAACCTCCTCCTTTTTGAAGTCGGTTGAAAAGGGCGAGTTGCTACTTATTTATTATTATAATAAAGGGTTATTTAATAGGTACCTAAATTTCACTGTAAGAGGAAAGGTGCGTTTGATTCTATACCTTATTATCACGCTTTAATAAGAGAATTGCACGTGTACCAAAATCATATAAACATCCATAAATTGATTAAAAAAAATCTAATAAATCCAGTTATAATTGTTAAGAAAGTCGCGCTTGCCTGTTTCACCTCGGCTCGACTTTACAGTTTAATATCGAGTTTTCGCGCTCTCAAGCGTAAGATCCGAGAACTCTGGCCACCTGCGCTTTTTTATCTAGCAATATTACTATTTATATTAATTTAAGGAAAATCCATTATATTTTACTTGATTCATCTCATTTTAATTAAATCATATATTTTACTGAATCATATCGCAAATATTGTAGTGTATTGTTCGACAAACGTTACAAAGTCTTATCTATGACAACTTAGTGACCATTAAATAGCAAAGAAAACTAACAAAAACTAATAGTCCTAACTATGATTTAGAAAATAAGCTCCAATTAATAAAATATTAACCGCGGTTCATATCAAATAATTTTCATTAATATTGCCTAAATTGCAGAAATCGTAAAACAATTATAATATGATTAAATCTAACATTAATTAGTACCGCTATATATTTTATACGAAATATGATAATACGATTAGTTGTAATAAGTAATTGTTCAATAGTGGAAAATAAATCGATTTTTTTTATTTATATGTTAAGATTTTGAAAGAATTTTCTAAACTTGTATCTATTTAGTGGTGCAAAATAGAAAGCTTACCTTAGCTAGCTTGCTTAGATAACAATATAAACGTATAATAAAAGTGTAACTAATCGCTGTCTGTACATGAAAGATATTTGAGAAAAACTATTATTGCTGGTCACAAATGGCATTATTGGGTAAAAACAATGATTTTTAGAATTTTTGTCTGTTTGTCTGTGCGTTCAGTAACAGCATAACGGATTTGGGTGCGGTTTTCACTAATGTATTATGGTAAGCTTCACTTAACAATTAGTATTTGTTTTATTTCGATCATTGAATTCCCTCGAAGCACCTAGGAATGAACTCGAGCGAAGCATGGATGAGTCGCTAGTATAAAATATAATATTAAAAAAGAAACTTTCACAAAACATAGTATTGTATTCATTTGCAATAAGCGAATACATTTTCTTAACAGCCTATTCGTTAGGTAACTTTTAAAACATAAGATAAAGAAAAGCTTTCATGTTTTGCCCCATTGTTATGCGAAATAGAAGAAAATCTTTTTCCTCGTTCTATAGAAGTAAAAAAGGTTTTCAAATGTACTTTTCATTATTCTAATTGAATTAATTAACGTTATTTTCAATGCAACTGTAATTTATACATTAGCTTTTATCTGTAAGTATTGTCATTGTGATTAAAAATCGATGTGTACGTGTAATAAATAAAATCGATTATAAATAATTAAATATCGATTAAAAAGGGGCATCATAATAAGATTTTTATAAGAAAACCATGACATAAATTAACGAAACAGTTAAAAACGGAAAGTCAGTTAACAATCATAAAGTATAAAGTCAACATGTTAAATTTCAAAGTCACACTCGAGCGACACGGACAGCTTGTAATTACCACAATTAAAAAACTCATTACGTACGTACAGTCATCGACCGTGGACATTTAATTAGCGGGTTTAAATAAAAAAAGTGTGGGAATATTAGCACTGTTTTGTTCTTTATTAATTCTTCGTGTAAATGATATGCTTTAGTAGCTTATTTATTAATTTGTTAAATTTATATATAATTTAAATTGATTACACGAAGTTTAAATGAATTATTAGAATAATAATCTAAAAATCTGCTCAACGTATAGGCTAAATAAGCAATTAATGGGAAATCGATTATCATCATTCGATTTAGTGTTACGTAATCTTTTTTAATAAATAGTTATAGAGAATAATTTACACAGATAAAAAATATTATGATGTAAACAAGAAATAGTTCTAAGTACTGTTTACGATCGTAAAGGACGAGTATATAAAAATTAGCATCTTACAAGAAACAAAACATTATTTATAATAGCCTATAAAATTTTTAGTACTTTACATTGAAGCAAAACATTTGTAGGGTATAAAAATGATGCTGAATAACTAATCTAATTATAATGCGCATAAGAACCGACCGCCGCCATTGGCCACTTTCAAATCCATGAAAAAGCACGTGAATTTTTTTCTAAAACAACGTAGAATGTACGTGGTAGGAAACCGCGTCCTATTGGCCGGCGGTCAGGCCAGTGCCTACGATTGGATACATTTTTTTGCCGCTTTTCACGTATACGGCGTTAGTAATTTTTTTTACGGAAACACCAACCAATGGAACGAACGTAGTTTTAATTATAAAAGTTGTTCTAGTCACGGATTGTTTTTGCGGCTCGTATATGGTGCCGGCATAACGAGTTGTGAGCGCTAGGTATTTTATAAGTCCACTATTAAATTGGAACTCCATTTTAATTTTAGATTCAATTCAACTGTATGTAAAAAGTTATATTTACATTATTCATGGATGTTTTGTTACTAGTTTACATATTATAGTTAGAGTTTAGGTTTTTTTATAAATGTAGGCACAGATTGATATATTATATCTTTTTTTTTGTATATATTTTATGAATTTTACTTAAAATACTAAGAAGCAAAACAAATAAGTGGTTTTCAACCAGCAATTTAGAATTTGAGTGAATATTTTTGAGCGCGAAATGGTTCGAGATGCAATCTGCTTTATAATGGCGAAGTTAAATTTGGAAGACACATCCCGTATGCCGTGATGTATGCGCATGCGTTTTATTAAATTTGTTTATTTGCACTAGACATCACGTTTTACTTTGAATATTGTGAAACCTTTAAATGGTTGGCAGATTTATGTTAGTTTCTAGATTTGTTAGTGCTACTACAATTTAATTATTTATTCTTCAAATATAATATATTAACAAAAACAATTATAAAATGTACTTATGTAGGTCTCCGATACAATAAAAAAAAATTGTCTTACAAAATCACATTTTTTAAACATATCCCTTAGTATAACTGTCTCATACTAAAGCGACTAAAGAAATATTTTTATTAATAGATTTTTATTCCCGAAATCTAAACTCACCAGTGTGTAGCCTCGTGTGTTGCTGAACGTGACTGAGTTGCTTGAACCGTCGGTCACAGTACGAACATTTGTACGGTTTCTCTCCAGTGTGTACTCTAATATGCTGTACCAATTGGTGGTTGGAACTGAAGGATTTCAGGCATTGCTGGCACTGATGAGGCTTCACCTCGCCTCCCAACCCTCGCTGGAGTTCCCTCGCGTGCATCTGCATGGCGTTCTTATGCATAAAGATCTGTAAACAGATGTGAGCTGATTTATTTGTCGAGGGGTGAAATTTTTATATGGAGCAAGGTAGTTTGAACCGACTTCAAATAACGAGGAGATAGACACTCAATTCGTCCCTTTTTTATAGTTATGTGCTATAACTATAAAATTTACCTCTAAATGTAGGTTATTAAGTTTGATGTTATTTTGAAGTCGGTGTATCTTTTATTTTTAAATAATCTTTGGGAATAAATACACTTGATATATTTTATTTCATTTCAATCAATCGATTACTGTTAGATAGCTTCTAAACTTTTTAATCATTAAGTTAGTGGCTTTATTTTTATGTTTTTGAAATTTACTTAGAGATTTTAGCATTTATAATAGTTTACATTTTCGTAATTTTAATTAAAAGTAAAAATTTGCAGGAATTATAAAATCATCAAACACAAGTTATTAATAACCTACATATTAATGATTTATAATATTAGAATTATTATAAATATTATCATAAATAAGAAAAACAGCAGAAAACTTCAAACGATTGAATTTTATCTATACATTCACAATAAAGTATAGATATGGAAGAATAAATATGGTATGATATAGCATACAAAAACCACTATAAGTTTACCTCCGTGTGTAGGCCACATTACGTACGAGTGTTAAGTTTCGCGCGGGCTCCTATAATTTAGCCATGGCAAAGAAATTGCCTTCTACCACTGCAGATAAGGTGGAATTATAGGGACTTAAAATTATTTATCGCCTGTAAAGAACTGGCGTATATTTTGATATGTTATACTGGAGTTGGTTTTACAATAATATATTTTATTGGACTAGACTTGTTTTATTGAAAATATTTTAGGGTGAGATGATTTTTTTTTAATTTGAGATCATCTAAAACTTGTACTAGAGGCTTTACTTTTTACTTTTTTTTTATAGTTGATGGGCAATACAAATATAAGTTACTTCTATTTCAAATTTTCTTAAGTTCGTGACACAGTACAGTAACAAGAAGTAAAAAACATACACAAATGATCTGAGTGAATTTATATTGCTATTATGATAGTTATAACCACAAAATACTACAATTGGTAATGAAGCAAATATAATTTTATGATTATTTGATTAGTAATAGGACCTAATATTTTATTATAATTAAAAAAACATTATGTGTATAATGTTTAAAATCTTTTTTTTTTGTCTTATAAATTTTTTTCATGATGTTTATAAGCAAAATTCCAAAAATTATAGCTATTTTTTATCGTAGCCTACTTATTAAAACTTAGTATTAAAAATATTATTACAATTAGCTTAATAAACTTGTTTAGGCTTACAATACTAAATCAATATGTAAGAAATCAAGTTCTAACATTATACAATACTATAAATAATTTACATAAATACATATAAATTAATTACTTAAAATAACAATTGTCGTAAATGAATAAATAATCTGTAAAATCTAAAGTATATATTATATAGGTATATTTATCGAAGCTTTACTTCTATGCGATTGCAAAGAAACGACTTGAGACACGCAAACGTACAATGTAGGCCGAGAAAATGTATACACGTATAAACATTACTGCTATTAGAACGCGATATATTATCTTCACCTCAGTCCTATGATAAAGCTTGGTAGTGCTGTATTATAGTGAAAAATAATAAATAAATTCATTGAATTAGTTTTAAAAAAAATTAGACAATTTAATTTTTTTTTATTTTGACAGATAAAACATACAATTATCATTTTTTTAGAGATTAAATAAATTTATCTATAAGAATAAGTTTATATATGAAAAAAGTACCTGATGAAAAAACGACGCATCTTCAAACTTATTGTAACTCCACAACTCACAAGGCATATTTCTATGAAAAAACGCGTGCATACTTTAAGGACGTCTCTAAACATAATGTCAGTGTTATTTTAATATACTTTGATTGAGGAAAATATATTATTAACATTTAATAAATTATTTAACATGAAATATTTTTTAATTATACTTATCGCCTTCCTGTAATAAACTGGTATATTTTTCAGTAGACAACAGGAAAAGACTGACGGTGATTTATATGCTTTATACTAAATTAAGCCAATATGTCTGACCTCTTAAGCACTGATAAGTTATAAGTTTTCAATATTTTTTTAACTATATCAAAGTGGCTTAAATAACAAACGTTATTATATTTTTGCTATTTTTTTATCTTTAAAATCATACAAAAATACTGTAAAGAAACGCATTTTTAGTGTTTGCCGATTTATCCAATTTTTGGGCAACTTTTCTACACATCTTTCGTCACATCGGTCCAGATCGAGTGTTTTTAAGTAATGTGATCCCCAGCCAACAGCATGTCATTTTTATTTACTCTTTTATATAGATGACGATTCAAGAATCATCTAGATTTTTCTACGAACTAGGTAGTTACTTTTTAAGAAATTTAGTATATAAGACCAACTAGCATCGACCTAAATACCTAATCTCTAGAAGCTTTATAATACAATGTAATAAAGAGAACATATATTAAAAATATATGCTGCTAATATAAAATTATTCAATTTTTAATGTATGTTACCTTTTTTCCATAAAAAAACTATTTGAGTGAGTTATTACAGCATTATGTATCATCATGATATAATTAATAAATATGTGCTAATTTTATATTAGGACTCACGTACAGTCCTAATTTGTAGTAACTAATTTAAAATGAATATAAAAAATAAAAGCATGAAATGTGTTTACTTATTTTGGCCCACAGTGTAGCCCTTTCACGCGTGTTAGAAAGTGGAACTAGAGGTTTTGATCACGCAACGAAGAAATTGCAAAGAATTTATGATTTTGATACGCTATGAGGTCTAAGGTTTGGTTCCCGGAAAGCAACGTGAGATACTCTGAGATTTATTATATACTAATTAAATATACATAATGTTACTTTAACAAATTTAAGATATTACTATATAGTATTAGTAGTAAGCTATAGTGACCTTTTTGATGAATTTCAATTTTGTATTATATTGATCACTTCTTTGTATATTGTATTGGCGTTTAAGCGTAAATTCAACCCTATTTCATGATTAAATTGTAATAAACATTTTTTTAAGTTAAAGTTTAATAACGGAATATTTATTAAGTTATGTTCTTAGTAACGGACAGTCAAAATGGTAATTTATTTATTGTAAAACTTTTACCACCATCTTTAAAAAACCGATTAGTTCTTATGTAGTTTAAATAAAATGTGAAGTTCTTTTTTATTTGGTACCCAGGAAGCCTATCGTGGACTTAAATAAGGGTCTAATAAGATGATGGAAGAAATAAGAGACGTATATATGTATGTACAATGGATGTTTCAAAATAGGTTGCATATATTTTTTAAGAATAAACTCTATTTAAATTAAGAAAAAGAAAAATAACTCAATCTAAAGAAATATGTATAGGTAGGTACGTGTACTAAAATTCTGAGTCAAATCTGTAAATTAATTATTTTTTGCAAGATCTTATTGAAATAGTCATTATTATTGATACTATATCATTATTATGATATTTTAGAATGTGTGTCTGTCTGGGAACGCATCACGAGAAAAACACTGGACAGATTCTGACGAAATTTAGTAGTTAGTACCTACTTAATAAGGTAGATAGATAAATTAACATTAAGATAGAGAAGAAAGTAAAGCTGTCCGTACTAGAACTATAATCTATAACAAATATCAACGGTAAAGTTTGTCTGTTGTTATAAGTCTTCCTTATTTTAATACGGGACTAGGATTGAAATAATTTTTCACAAAAAAAATCTTTTCATCCTGAAACATCAAGCAGATTCCGTTTTTAATGCTCACTCGTATTTAATCAATAACATGTGTTTTGTAGATTTTTCTTTATTTTTGTATATAATTTTAATTATTTAAAAATTTTACGTTACTTAAACTTTACGCAGTCCCAAATAACAAAGGGGTCATAAAAATATCGAACACACCCGCAGGCAAAAGGCCTATTAAAAATTCCACTATTGAAATAAGATCTAAAGCAGACAGTGTTTGCAGACATGTATTAGAATTATTTATATTATATTATTAAGTCATTATTGCCCTTGTTCTATACGTTATACTCGTTTTTATGTAATAATTTAAAACAACGACTCTACTTTTAGTAATTTATTTAATTATATGAACGCGAAACCACAAATTACTTTTTTTTACATTGTAAGTTGTAAATATTGACTTTAACCAGGACTTGAGCATGACTTACAAGTATGAAGTTAGATGATATAAATACCAATACTTATTTTGCTATAGATTCTTTTTTATATTACACTAGCATTGCCCGCGGCTCCGCCCGCGTACTGATGACCAAAAACCAAATTGTTAGGTTTTACGTATTAGTATATTCTTACATTGCAGTTTTTGTATTTTTTTCAGAAATGAGATATTTTCTCGCGGTAAAAAGTATCCTATATGTTGACCCGAATAACCAGCTATCACCATACCAAATGTCATCAAAATCCCTCCAGTGGTTTTTCTATGATGCGGTAACAGACAGACAGACAGACAAAAATTCTAAAAACTATAGATTCGGTTTCTGTATCGATAATAATGTCTAATTCAATAAGATTTTTAAAAACAAAACATGATTCGGCTTACTTACAATTTTATTATATGTATATTACAGCGCGTTGGCACAAATAATAAAAATATCTGTTTTACAAAATTACTTGTATTAAGTTCACCCAGTGGCCGAAATTCGAACATAATCATTATAGAAAATTTATAAAAAAATTATACTGAATTTCACCTGTTTATATAAAAAAATCTGTTTCCAAAATTTTTAATCGATAACACTAAAGCTCATAAAAAGCTACTAAGCAAAAAAAAAGAAAATCAGAAAGAAAAAAAAAGAAATGAAAAAAAGATGGAGTAAAGATACCAATTAATGTGTAATAATATTAGTATATAAGGTTTTTTTTTTAATTTTAAACAAAACTGATATGAATTTTTTATAACATTAATAAAGAAAAAGCATTTAAACACCG